CCCCCCCCCCCCCCCCCCCCGGGCTTGCAACCGAACATTTTTTCACGCCCTGAAGTATTTTAATATTCTTATGACCTACTTGCTTTTACACAGTAGATTAATTTCCCGTCTGTAAACAAAAACAATAAAATAATAATAATAACGCTCGACACACAAGTGAAAGTGCAAGAAGAAAGTCTTTAATAATAAAAATACGCTTGCAGCCTTCAAAGAAAGTCATAATGAAAAAGGGGAGAAACCTTTGCAATCACAAATCAACAACAAACTATACCCTTTCATCTCCCCTTGAAATAAAAAGACATTCAACCAACAAAACATTTATACGAAATCATGAACAGGTGATTGTTTCTCTCATAGACCCAGTGGCATAGTAAAGGGGTTGTGGAGGGGGCGGTAAACCCCGGGAGCCACATTTACCTTATATTGAGGGGCGGCACTTTTGGTCAGCATCAGAGGGATTTTTCGTGGCAGAGGGGCGGGGAAAAGCTTGGCCCACCCCTGGCGGCACTAACCATAGCTACGCTAATGCAAAGGCCTATATATGCAGTATTAGTCTTAGTAGGGTTTATGCCCAGGCACAGATCCACGAGTGGGTGAAAAACAAAAGACAATAATATTGCAATTTCCATAATTTTTGTCCGTTTTAATCAAGTAGATTCCTTCTCCCCTATTGAAATCTACCCCCTAAGGGGGGGGGGGGTCAAATCGGGAAAGAACCTGCTTACGGACCATATCGGAAAGAAAACTCTGCATGACGAGAGCAATGTCAACGGAACGCGTCTTACAGACTTCGCTATAGGAAAAGGAATGACAATCAGTAAAACAATATTCCAAGACAAACAAATACATAAAGCAACATGGATAGCGCCAGATGTGTTTACCCGTAATCAAATTGACCACGTATACTCATTGGCCGTCGGCATGGCTCTGACAAATTAGATGTACGAAGCTGTAGAGGGGCAGACATAGACTCATACCATAATACTTGTAAGAATCAAATATTAACAAAGAATTTGTAAAAATCCAAAATAAACGAAATAAAAGAGAAAAACAGTACAACAGCCAGATATTAAGTAAGACCCAAAAATTACTGAGGCATATCAACAGAAGATTCAAACTCAACTAAGAGTTATTCAAAGGGGAAACAACCAACATCAATCTAACTGAGCAATGAATTGGAAAAGATAAGCCTGTACGACGCTACACGGGAACTTGGAGTCCCTGCGTTTCATGCATATAACGATGGCTTACTCCAAATGTAGAATCAAAGTACAGGGAAAGTGCTCGAGGGAATTCCTAATTAATCAGGGCATCAGGCAAGGAGATTCACTATCATGTATCCTGTTCAAAATATCGTTAGAAAAAGTAGTTAGAAAAAATGCATGTGAGCCCAGTGGAACCATTACAAACTACTACCAGGATAACATACATGTGAGCACAGTGGAATCATTACAAACTACTACCAGAGAGGTATTACAGAACAACAACCATCAGGAACTTAATACAGCAAACCAATGCAGTACCAGCTGGCATACGCGGACGATATAGCGTGACTGAGCAGAAACAGCAATGATATAATTAAAGCATTCAGGAAACTTTAAGATGCCTTGGTCAAAGCTGGTCTTTAGGTAAATGAAGCGAAGGCACAATATAAATGTCACGAAACATGCATACTGATGACAACGTCAATATATAAACAACTTCACCTTTGAGAGAGTGGCAACTTTCAAATATCTAGGGGCGACTATATATGAGCACATGAAACAATGTCAGAGTTGAGAGAAGGGATAACAGCAGGCAACCGTTCTTATTTCAGCCTTCAAAAGCTACTAGGAAGCTATTGCCTCTAAAGAGGAAAAAGTAAGGCAATATACACCAAGATCATGAGACAATTAGTAATTTATGCAAGTGAGACTTGGTCCCTTATCAGAAAAGCAGAAAACCTGCTCAATACATGGGGGAAGAAAATCCTCAAGAAAATATATGGCCCAGTGATAGACAATGATGTGTGGAGAATTGGTAAAAACAAAGAGTTTTCTCAATTGTACAAACACCCAACCATAGTCGCAACATTAGGGAAAAACCACAGACTGCGTTGGACAGGACACATTTAGGGGATACCGGATTGTAGAGCAGTAAACGTGATTTAGATGAATCGACGACGTCGAGAAGAACTTAAACCAGCTGGGAGTCCGCCCATGGAAGCGGAAAGGTATGGATCGATCCGAATAGAAGGATGTGGTGGAGCAGGCTGTAGCGCCACTAAACGATGATCAGCTTTTCAGTTCTTGCCTTTGTCGCCCTATGTCCTGGTCAGGGCCATGCGAAGGGGGCAGCCACTCCATGGACCAACACTATGGGCCCACCAAAATCGTCAATTATTATGAAAATCGGGAAAGGGGATCCATTTTCAGACCTTGCCTTAGACGCCGTATTTCCTTCGCACGTCCCTAGACCTCGGTACGCCTCTGCCTAGTGCTCCCCGTTTTTGTTGAGAGAAGAAAAAAAAAAAAGATTTCCTACGACCATTATTAGAATCCTAGTACCAAAATAAAGGATTGGGATCTTCAAATAAAATAAAGGCAATAAACACATCATTAGACTATCTGAACACCGAAATCAACAAATAGCTCAATGGAAAAACGTGAGACTTCCTGACCACCCCAAATGTCGCATGCTGATTCGACCTCCAAAATGCCGTGACAGTGCGATAACCAATGGCTTTTGGATTGCGACACGTCTCCGCAAGTCTGTAAAAGTGGGGAGGGTATGAATGGAAGGAAAAAAAGGGGGGAAGGGGGAGGTTGTTGACCGGTAAATAAAATTGTAAATATGTCACGACCAGACTATAACATTGAGATGGCATTTAATTTAGACCTCAGTGGTTGTTGATTTACAAATTATTATTTTCTCTCTTTTTAAAAAAAAAAATTTAATTTGCCCTGGTTTGTAGAGTGGTGGGTACCAGGAAAAGTTGAGTAAAAAAAAAAAAAAATAGATGAGGGGAGGTAAAAATGTGTTGCCACTAATTGATGTCAATGACTCTTATAGACCCGGAGTTAACTAGAATGCAATTAAGTTATTTATACTGTTGTATGCCCTTTCTGTACTATATCACGCTCTTTCAAGCATTTAAAAAAAAACGAAAGGGGTGTCCCCAAAAAAAAAAAAAAAAAAAAAAAAAAAAAAAAAAAATTGCGATCTATTCTATTTCCAAATTTTTTTTTTCTTGTAGATAATTGGGAGTTCGGTTGGTTAACTTTATTAACTTCAACCTTACGCAAACGCAAATGCAATTGCACAAAAAAAAAAAAAAACACAAAACAAACAAACAAACAAACAAAACCCCCACGATGTTCAAAATCTAGAAGTGAATTCATTTAGGTCAGTTGAGACACCTACATCCTTAGAGTACAGTATGGTCACTGTTACATCATGAGCTGCATCATCCAGTTACAGTTTTAATGAATGAAAGCACCACCACCGCCGAGAGAGTGCGCCAAGTGGCCTTGAGTAGCGTGTGTAGCTCCCGTACCATGTGGGGGTGGGGTCAGAGGTTAAAGGGAGGGTCAGTGTCAGGCCGTGTACCCTATTTTGACAGTTGTGACTGCGACACCTGGGTAAAATGTCAACAGTAAAACAAAACGTATGGGAAATTAAAATATCCTCAATTTATTTTATACGTGCATGCCTTTCAGTCATTGATTTATTTTATACGTGCATGACTTTCAGTCATTGATTTATTTTATACGTGCATGCCTTTCAGTCATTGATTTATTTTATACGTGCATGACTTTCAGTCATTGATTTATTTTATACGTGCATGACTTTCAGTCATTGATTTATTTTATACGTGCATGCCTTTCAGTCATTGATTTATTTTATACGTGCATGACTTTCAGTCATTGATTTATTTTATACGTGCATGCCTTTCAGTCATTGATTTATTTTATACGTGCATGACTTTCAGTCATTGATTTATTTTATACGTGCATGACTTTCAGTCATTGATTT